GTATACTTACTTAATTATATATTACAATGTAATAATAATAGAAATAAAGTGCACAATAAATATAATGCACCTGAAACCAGGCTGGAGTGCAGTGGCACAATCTCAGCTCACTCCAGCCTCTTTGATCTACCAGGCTCAAGTGATCCTCTTGCCTCAGCCCCCCAAAGCTGGGACTACAGACATGCCACCATGCCTGGCTAATTTGTGTATTTTTTGTAGAGACAGGATTTCGCTATGTTGCCCATGTTTGTCTGAAACTCTTGAGCTGAAGTGATCCACCTGCCTTTGCCTCCCACAGTGTTAGGGTTACAGGTGTGAGCCACTGTGTCCATCCTGATTCTTTCTTAACACAGCTATATTGTCTTTTATATCCTGAATCTTTTTTTCTTCACTTTTTTTTTTTGTGGATTTCAACCTTCTTTTGGATCTAATTGAGTTTCTTTGCAATTCGTATTTTAAATTCTTTAACTATCATTTCAGATGTTTCCATCTGATTAGGATCCACTGCTAGGGAGCTAATGAGATCCTTTGGAGGTGACAAAGCACTCTGGCTTTTTGTACTGCCGGAGTTATTGTGCTGATTCTTTCTAATCTGAAGGAGCTGTCTTCTTTTTTTTGGATTTTCTATCATTTGGATGGGGCTTTTAATTTTTTTGTTCTTTTCTCCCTTGAGGGTATGACTATGGTGTATGTTATGTATGTGTGTGATTGATTGGCTTTTGTGTTTTTTTTTGGTTGCTTTCATGGGGCCAAGGCTCTCTCTGGGTTCCTCGGCTGTGAATGCTTTCTGTTCAATATCTTTCTCAGATGCTGCTTGTTATGAGGATGTATTTTCATTTGGTGATGCAGTTTAGGCGGCAGTCCTGTAGATGGCACTTAAGAGTAAGAGCTGGCAGATAGTCTGGTGCCTATTGGATGCACCTGCCCTGATTAGGTTGGCAGGAAGAGATCGTGATGGGATGCCTTGAAAGTCTCAGAGGAAGGGGCAGGGGTGGGGCTTCACCAGCTCCTCATCCTAGACTGGCAGTAATGCAGTTTGCTTCACTGTCACACTCCTGTCATGGGGCTCACAACCATCTGTTTATGAAGGCTTTGTCCTTTGGTTCCTGACCACACTATGGCTCTGTGCTATAGATCTGCCTGTCTGACAGTTATCACCAGAATGGGGGTCAGAGCAGAGCTTTGACCCACAGTCTAGGGCAGGTAACTTCATGGTTTCTCCTCCATTGCTGGGGTACTGCCACACCATGTAGAGAGGGGGAGTTGAAACCCACCCTTCCTGAAAGCCTGAGCAGGCACAGCCCTGATTTTAGTGGGGGTGGAGCCACCAGAAAGGCATGAAAAGTGCTTTTGTTTAGTTTCTGCTCACTTGCAGTGGGTTTGCAGCTGCTGAAAAAGTGAGAAAAGTGCTTTCTTTTAGTGCAAGCTCACTAGGCAGGGTGAGAAGATCCACTACTGTGTCTGCAACAGTGTACAGCAGATATTTAAAGAGGACTCTTTCTCCACATCTGTTCCCAGATGTCAGTGGTGCCCCCTTCACTGTTTGGTGCTGCGTCTGTGTTGCCTTTATTTCAAGGGAGCCTTTGGCGGCCTGTGCTTCCCCCTCGCTTAGGGGTGGCCTTTGCCGAAGATTGAATCTCCAGGGATCTACAACTCCCAGGGACCCATTGGTCTTCTGTGCTTGCCAAAGTCAGAGCAAATTGTAGGGTGTGTTTGTGGGTGATTTGGTGATGCTGTGGCTCAAGGATGGAGGATCTCTAGGCAGGACAATGATACCAAGGTTAAATTATTAAAATTTGTTGTGTGGAACAGAATGTAGTTTATCTTGACCAATGTTAAATGTTATACATTCATTTAAAAACAGTATGTTATACTGTTTTCTGGGTAGCACATTCTATGACTTTCAATTATATCAAATTAGATGTTATATCAAATTATTGTTCAATAATTGTATAACTTTAAGATTTTGTTTCTATTTGTTCCTCCTGTTATTTCACTAGGGGTGCAGAAATCTCTGACTATATTTGTGGATATATCTTTGCATTTCAGATTGTGGTCATGTATTTTGAGCTCCAATATTAGGTGATTAATGTTAAGGATTGTTATTTTTTGAAGAATTTCTTCATTATTGTAACATGAACTTCTTTGTCATATTCTTTGTAATATTCTTTTTTCTATGTTGTCTGATATCAATATAACCACTCTTATTTTCCTTTGATTTTTTCAAATTTTTCCCATATATTTTACTTCAAAACTATTTATGTCTTTATATTTAACATGGGTTTCTTATAGGCAGCATATAAATTATCTTACTCTCTTATCCAATTTTATAATTTCTGCTTTTAAAATGGAGTATTTCAACCATTTAATTGTAGTGTAATTATTGACAAAGTTTTGTTTAAATGTACCATCATATTCCTTGTTTTCTACTTATCTCTACTTATTTTTTATTCACTTTTCTTCATTTTTTTGGTTTTTTTGGTTTATTTTTTATAATTTCATTTTTTTTGTCCTTTTTTGGTAGCCATAACTCTTGGTTGTGACATTTAAGTGATTCTTTTAGGGTTTAGTGTACATTTTGTGCTATTAATGTCATACATTTTACTTTATGTATGTTATAAATCCCACAATACATTGTTATTGTTTTGCTTTAAGCAGTTGTCTTTTAAACAGATTTAAGTTATAAGAATAAAATCTTTATATTTACCCATGTATTTATCATTTCCATTGTTCTTGATTCCTTTGTGCAGGTCTAGGTTTCTACGTAGCATCATTTTTCTTCTACTTGAAAGAATTCCTATAGTGTTTATTGTAATTTAGTTTTGCTGTTAATGAATTCTTTCATCTTTTGTAGGTGTGAACAAATCCTTGTTTCACCTTGGTTTTTGAAAGCTTTTTTTAGATTAGAGAAATCTAAGTTGTTTTTTTCTTTTAGTACTTCAGAAATGTTTCTCTATTGTCTTCCTACTTTCATCGTTTACAAGGAATCTTGTACTATCCATATTTTAGTCCTTCTGTGTGTAATTTCTCTTTTTCTCCAACTGCTTCTAAGATTTGTATTTTTATCATTGGCTTCCTGTAATTGATTTATTATGTGCCATGGTATAGTCATATATATGTTTGTACTTGGGCTTTGTTAAACTCTGTGTGTATGTGAGTATATGGATTTTATCAAATTTGGAAAGTTTTAGCCATTATTTTTTCAAAATTTTTTTTGGTCTTCCCTTTAAGGGACTCCAATTGCTCATATATTTGGTCATTTAAAATTATCTCACATTTCACTAATGCTCTACTCCTTTTTGCAAGTCTTTTTTTCTCTATGTGTTTCATTTTTATAGTTTCTGTTACTATGTTTTTAAGTTCACTAATCTTTTTTTCTGAAATGTCATCTGTCATTATTCTCAGCCTGTGTATTTTACAAAGCAAACATTGTAATTTCTACTTCTGAACGTTGAAATGGGGTCTTTTTTATATCTTTTATTTAAAATGTTCAACTTTTTCTCTACCTTTCGAATATATTGAATTCAGTTGTAATAACTGTTTTAATGCCATCAGTGTCATACTTGGGTTAATTTTTATTGGTTGACTTTTTTCTCTTTATTATAGGTTGTATTTTTCCTTCTTCTTTGCATACTTTATCATTTTTATGGGTACCAGGCATTGTAAATTTTGCCCTGTTGATTGCTGGATATTGTTGAATTTTAAAATATTCTAGAGCTTTGTATTTGAATGTGGTTAAGTTACTTGGAAATACTTTAATGTTTTAGCTTCTTGCTTTTAAACTTTGTTAGGCAGAACAAAGCTATTATTTTTTCCCATTCTTGAGGTAATACCCCTCTTAATTCTTTAACTGATGCCCATGAATTATGAGGATTTACATTTTGGTGATTGGGGATAGGCATGATTTCTGGCCATGTGTTATTCCTGGGTGCTATTACTTCTTATTCTTCTGAGTGGCCCTTTCCTGGCCGTGGGTAGTTTTCTTAAACACAGGCACTCTTTGGTGCTTAACCAAATACTCAGTGGTGAACATCTGCAGTTCTATGGAGTTCTCTTTCTGTGTATCCCTCTCCTCTTCAGTGTTCTCCTCTGCAAACACCAGGAATCTTGTCTTCCCTGGACTCCCAACTCTGTCTCCTCAACTCAGGGAGTTCACTGGGCTCTGCCTGGATTCCTGTCTTTGCATCAGAACCTGGAAACTACCTCTAGGAAGTAAGCTGGGGCAATCATAGGTATGATTCAACTCATCTGTTTCAAACCCAACCCCTCATTTCCAGTGTGTTCAGAACCATAATTTTACATATTTTGTTTGGTCATTTGATTGTTTGTAATAGGAGTGTAAATTTGATCCCTGTTATTACATCTTGACTGAAAGTCTTGTTTGTCCCCTTATTGTTTTTTTAATGCCAAAAACTTATTTTGGTGTGTGTTGAGAACTCCTCATGTAATTAGAGTTACTGATGTCTACTTAAGTCTGCAAGTCTACCTTCGCTCCTCAATTATTACCTCTAAGGACACAAAACCTTTATTGTTTGTCTTCATATTTTCAATGTTAATATGGTAGTGCTTAACACATAGAAATTTAATGCTTTTTGAACTAATAAAATTAAAATGGGGTAAGCTTATGCTTCTGTGATGTGGTATATTAGTATATATAATATATATTTTACATTATATATACATGGGTGTGTGTGTGTATATATATATGAATATATGTGTGTGTGTGTATTTCGCTTACATTGCATTTATAGTTCCGTAATTTTTTTGTGTGTGTATAGCCAAGAAATGCTTAGTGAAATTTTTTTTTTTTGTAGCAAATAAAGGTTGATGAGGTTTTACTTTAGCAAAATGAACAACAAGATTGATGCTTAAAATGTAAAGGTGTTACGTGTTCAGGCTTTACTCACTCTGAATATTAATAAGTATGTAAGTATGATTGTTAAATATTTAAAAGGAAATACTAATTCCAATACCCGGAAAGGAAAAATCCATAATAAATGTTAAAGTTAAATATCTCAGGTTTAATTTCTTATCATTTTATTTTAAAAATAAAATTGTGTTTTTCAATTACATTGCAAAACAAATGTGTAGAAATATATATCTGTGCCTGTCGCTGTCACGTTGGAAAGAAGTCTTGTAAAACAGTTTTGTCTGCTCCTTCCAGCTTCGTTCAGAGTTCGAAGGGAGTAAGGCCTGAGAGAGAGCAGATATTTCTCTAGTGAGCATGAAATTTGGTAACCTTAGGCCTGACCTTTAATCTGCTAAAGCGGAGAGACAGAGGCATTTCTCTGGGACACTGGAGAGGATATAAACCATTAAAGTCAACAGTGGATGAACTCATTCCATTACTTTTAATGACATTATATCTGTGTTTGTGTGCTCAATGTAATGATAACTTAGTAAAGGAGAATTAATTCCACATATTATCTACATAAAGGATAATGAGGGAAATCAGTTTCCTCTAAGGAAGTTTCATTAAATTTGGGTATAAGCCAATCTACTTTAGATTGGTCCCTGGCTCTTGGATGACTTTCAAGTCTTGAGGCTCCTAGAGAACGAACAAGGCCATATTTGAATGTCAGAGAAACAGACGCAGAAGCTTTCAGAGGACTCTTGTCACTGAAATTCCCTTTCCTTCTGGAAAAGCAAACTGCTAGTTTGTTGACCATCAGGTACAAAATAAATTTTTTTTCTATAAACCAACATTGTATCAGCTGAGATAGTTTTAATTCATATGATTTGTGACTAAACTATTTGATTTGTGGATCTGACAGCTCCTTGAGGTATTTCAAGTAATAAAAACAACAAACAAGCTAATAAATAGTGAATTAGTAAATATTCAGTATTTTTGTATTTTTTTGTGTTATATTTTTTAACACAGGAAATATTTTGTATTTTTTTAGCATAGGAAGGTTAAAGCAATGTTTCCAAGTTAAATGCCTGTTTTGAAAATCTGTCCTTGTTAAATTAGTGTTACTAAGTATTGATATTTTATATAATGCTAGTGATTCTTGCAGTGAAATTTAGAACATACAGTTTTCTTGTGGGTTTAGAATATAATTAATTTTTCAAATTTTTACCTGAGCAAACAGTTTGATGTCTCAAAGACAGCAAGGCAAATTTACTAAAATATGCTTATTTTAAATTGAAAACAAAATTTTATCAGAGGTAAACTGCACTTAAATTGCTTTAATCAAAAACTGTTAGTGATCCTTGTTTCAATGTTTCTATGTACATGGAGCAGTCTTATGTACTAATATATTAGTAACTCAGACTAGATGGGGAAGAGCAATTCTAAAATAATAAGCATGTTAAATTACAGAACTTAACTGTTGCAATGAACTGAATTTTGTGTCCCCCAAGAATTCATATGTTGAAATCCTAAGCCCCAAGTTTATATATTAGGAGGTGAAGCCTATGGGTATAGGATTAGAGCTATTACGAAAGAGGACCCAGAGAGCTGCTTTGCCCCTTCCATCATGTGAGGACAGAGCTGTAAGACACTGTCTATAAACCAGAAAGTTGGCCCTCACCAGACACTGAAACTGCTGGAGCCTTGATAGTGGATTTTCCAGTCACCGGAACTCTGAGAAATAAATAACTATTGTTTACCTGTCACCCACTTTACGATATTCTGTTAAGACAATGGTAATGCAGTTTATTGCTTATAAACTATTAATAATAATATTTATAAATCAATGTCAGTTACAGAGCTAGTGCCTAGAGGAATTACCTATAAATTAAAATAATAAAATCAAAGCATTGTGGGAACCACTGAAACAAATCAGTGTCGAAAGGATCTTGCTATTAGGTTGGATACTTTACTAAATGATACCAAAATAATTGAATGAACATTTAAATACTTCTTACCTTAAATTAAAAAAAAAAAGAAAAAAAATAGTTGCCTATATTTCCAAGGTTTTGCAAAAGTTTTAATCTCAAATGCTTATTTGTCATTTATATTTGGTTACCAAATTAATCTATATACTCTATTAAGAAGAACATCCTTATCAAAGATAACCTTCAGATTTCACCTTGTCTGAATTTGTTCAAATTCCCAATTTGTGAAGCCCATATGAATAAAGTCTTGCTGTATTTCCACTTCCAGAATAAATAACACAGCAATGAAATGCAAGTTTTGGGGGGGAACTTGAATTATTCACAACACAAGTATTTGAACTAATCCTATGTGTAGATTTTAAATTTACAATTATTTCTGTGCTTAATCGCTTATAGATTTTTGGGATAATAGAGAATTTATTAATAGAACTTTAGGAAAATGAACAAATGTGGGAATGACATGCTACGACTAGAACAGGATTTTGGCCCAGTAAAAAATAATTATTGATAGCAAAAAGAGTGTATTACCTTTCACATTGCAATTGTATGGCAGAAGGCAGTCAAATGGGAGCTAGAACAAATATATCAACTATTTATACATACTTTATCTTTTAAGAATAATATTAAAATAAGGCCACACGCGGTGGCTCATGCCTGTAATCCCAGCACTTTGGGAGGCTGAGGCATGTGGATCACCTAAGGCCAGAGGTTCAAGACCAGCCTGGCCAACATGGAAAAAGCCCATCTGTACTAAAAATACAAAACTTAGCTGGGCGTGGTGGTGTGTGCCTGTAACCCCAGCTGCTTGGGAGGCTGAGCCAGGAGAATCGCTTGAACCCAGGAGGCAGAGGTTGTAGTGACCTGAGATCATGCCACTGCACTCCAGCCTGGGTGACAGAACAAGACTCCATCTCAAAAAAAAAGAAAATATAAAAATAGATATAGATATTTTAGGGCCAGAAATGTTAGTTTCATCATATTAGACAGAAGTAACTATTATAGATTACCTAAAGGATGCAAAAACCATCTTTTCCATGTGCTATTCAGTGTCCAGTACTGTCCTTGATTTTTCTTAAAAATCATCTTAAGCACTATCATTATCAATAACCTCTAAGTGAGCAGAAGTAGGTCTTTTATTGCTAGAGAATTTCCTGCGGGCTAACTCTGTCTAAATTATGGGGTTATGAATCTCTGAATGCTTAGGTGGAAGCAGAAATTTATGTTTATCACCATGAACTCACAACATGTTTACCATCAGCACTGAGACATTATATACTTCTCCAAAGGAAGGCCCCGGGATGAGGCTTTGAGGGACAATGGTAATGATAATGATGACAACGAAAGTTGTGGGCAGTTGCTACTCATTCAATAAGCATGTATTGAATGTTTACTGAATGTAACCTACTATGTTCGAGTTTTTAAGTTCTGGCTATAAAGGTGGAAAGTCCCATACTGTTCACATTCTAATAAGGAGGTACAGAAACCATGGGTGAGTAAGTGTATCTATTGTATATCAGGTAATGATAAAAGCTGTAGAGAAACAAGAAGGTGAATGGGAAATGCCGAGGGGTGATTTGTTACACAGGACAATTAGGAAAGGCTTCCCTTATCAGGTGATGTATGAGATCTGCTTTGTTTACAAAGTGGGGAAGAAAGCCAAGAAGAAATCTGGAAGAAGACATTTTCACACAGAAAAAAAGAGTCAGCACAAAGCTACTGAAAATAGAATGCTTGGCTTGTCAGAAGAACAGCAAGAGGGCCAGTGCAATTGGGAGGGTGAATGAAGGGAGATGAGGTCAGAAAATCCAGGAGAAGGGGTGGGAGGGTCAGATTATAAGACCTCATGGGTCACTGAGAAAACTTGGGCTTTTTGAGCAGATGTATGGCAAGGTCAGAAAGAGCTTTTAGCAGCCTCACCTTGCCTCCTGTGTAGAGAACTGATCCTATTGGGGCTAATTGGAAGGCTTTCAATAACCTAGGATAGAGTTGATGAGAGGGTGATAGTGATCAAGAAGAAGAGAAGCAGAATTCTGAAGTAAAAGCCAGCAGAATTTGCTGATGGATTGGATATGTGGCGCGAGAGAAAGCAAAATGTCAAGGATAAATCCAAGGTCTTTTGGCCTGTGCAGCTGAGGGGATAGAGTTGCTGTGTACTGATAGAATTATAGGAAAGATGATAAGGAGTTTGGTTAATAGGCATGCTAAGTTTAAAATATTTATTAAACATCTGCCAAAAGATGTCAAGGCAGATGAAAGAGATGAGGGAGGATCATCAGTATATTAATGTTCATTTAAAGTTATCAGATAATATTACCTATGGAATGAGTGAAGACAGAGAATTATGTGGATTGAGCCCTGGCCACTCTAACATATCAGAGTTTCCAGGGAGATAAGGGAGAGTCAGCCATGGAGAGGGAACGGGAGTGGCCAGTGAGGTAGGACAGTCTTGAATGATGGTGACCCTGAAGCCAAGTGAATAAAACATCTCAAGAAAGGGCAAGTGATCAATAAAGTCCTGGCTTGTCGGAGCTCTGGCCACCTCCACATGAAGGGTTTCTATGTGGCTAAAGCAGTGTTCTGTATCCTCTTAGCAGTATCATGCAGTCAGGAGTCCCTTCAAGAAATGACTAGAGTAAGAATCAGTTAGGAATCCAGCCTTAAATACAGTCTCCAAGGAATGTAAGGTACAGACCTTGATGAACTCTTATCCTCTCGTCATGCAATGGCATGCAGGACTCTATTTTGATCAATCCTGAAATTTTGAGTGCCTCTAATTTTGTTAATGAGAGCCAACTTTTATATCTATCATACAAATTAACAGAATCTTGTTTTTATCAAGGGAGAAAATGGTTTCTGACATCTAGTATGCAAATTAGCAAAATGTCTGTTGCAGATGAAGATATCAGCAGGTGGAGAAAATGCAGTAGTCACTCCTGGAGTGTGGCCCTTATGGTTAGAATAGGAACTGACTATCCTTGGACTGTGCATTCTTGACAGCATTTTACCTGCTCATGCCTAGAATTAAAACTTAAAATATTTGACATTGAACCTATTATAATGCTAATAACCTGATGTACTTTAACTAAAATTATAGACATTATTCTATTAAGCTGTCTCAATAGAGGAACAAGAAAGTTTCCATGGCTGTGAAGAGGAAACACTGGGATTTGAACCTAGATATGGCTAAATTAAAGCCCATGGTTTCCATATGAGGCTGTATGGTTCACCCCTAATATACAGTTCCTGCATTTCAGAACCTACACTCAAAATAGGCAGGCAAGTTGTGGATATGCCTAATTAATATGGTTTGGCTTTGTGTCCCCACCCAAATCTCACGTTGAATTGTAATAATCTCCACATGTCAAGGGCAGGGTCAGGTGGAGATAATTGAATCATGGGGGCAGTTTACACCATGCTGCTGTTCTCATGACAGTGAGTGAGTTCTCCCAAGATCTGATGGTTTTATAAGGGGCCTTTCCCCCTTTGCTTAGCACTTTTCTCTCCTGCTTCCATGTGAAGAAGGATGTGTTTGCTTCCCCTTATGCCATGACTGTAAGTTTCCTGAGGCCTCACAACCTGGTGGAACTGTGAGCCAATTAAACCTCTTTCCTTTATAAATTACCCAGTCTTGAGTATTTCTTCACACCAGCATGAGAATGGAAGAATACAATAAATTGGTACCGGGAATGTGGCACTGCTGTAATGATACCCAAAAATGTGGAAGCAACTTTGAAACTGGGTAACAGGCAGAGGTTGGAACAGTTTTGAAGGCTCAGAGGAAGAGAGAAAAATGTGGGAAAGTTTGCAACTTCCTGGAGACTTGTTGAATATCTTTGACCAAAATGCTATAATGATACGTACACTTAAGTCCAGGCTGAGGGAGTCTCAGACGGAGATAACGAACATGTTGGGAACTGGAGTAAATGTCACTCTTGCTGTGCAAAAGACTGGTGGCATTTTGGCCCTGCCCTGGAGATCTGTGGAAGTTTGAACTTGAGAGAAATGATTTAGGGTATCTGGTGGAATAAATTTCTAAGCAATGAAGCACTCAAGAGGAAGCCGAGCATAGAAGTTTGGAAAATTTGCAGCCCAACTATGCAATACAAAAGTAAACCCCATTTTCTGGGGAGAAATTCAAGCCTGCTGCAGAAATTTGCATAAGTAACAAGGAGCTGAATGTTAATCACCAAGACAATGGGGAAAATTTCTCCAGGGCATGTCAGAGACCTTTGTGGAAGCCCCTCACATCACAGGCCCGAAGCCTAGAAGGGAAAAATGGTTTCCTGGGCCAGTTCCAGGGGACCCCTGCTGTGTGCAGCCTACAGACTACATCCCAGCTGCTCCAGCCATTGCTAAAAGGGGCTAAGGTACAACTCAGGATGTTGCATTAGAGGGTGCAAGCTCCCAGCCTTGGCAGCTTCCACATGGTGTTGGTCCTGCAGGTGCACAGAAGACAAGAATTGAGGTTTGGGAACCTCCACATAGATTTCAGAGGATATATGAAAACTCCTGGATATCCAGGCAGTAGTCTACTGCAGGGATGGAGCCCTCATGGAGAACCTCTGCTAGGGCAGTGCCAAAGTGAAATGTGGGATTGGAACCCTCACACTGAGTCCCCACTGGGGCACTGCCTAGTGGAGCTGTGAGAAGAGGGTTGTTGTTCTCCAGACTCCAAAATGGTAGATCCACCAACAGCTTGCACTATGCACCTGGAAAAGCCACAGACACTCAATGCCAACTGTGAAAGTAGCTGGGGCAGGGGGCTGCACCCTGCAAAGCCACAAGGATAGAGTTGCCCAAGAGTGAGCCCATCTCTTGCATCAATGGGAGCCCACCTCTTGCATCAATGTGACCTGAATATATGACCATGGAGTCAAAAGAGATCATTTTGATACTTTAAGGTTTAGTGAATGCCCTATTGGATTTCACACTTTCATGGGTACTGTAGCCCCTTTATTTTGGCCAATTTCTCCCATTTGGAATGGGTGCATTTACCCAATGCCTGTACCCTCACTGTATCTAGGAAGTCACTAACTTGCTTTTGATTTTACAGGCTCATAGGTGGAAGGGACCTGCCTTGTCTCAGATGAGACCTTGAACTCGGACTTTTGAGTGAAGGCTAGAAGGAGTTAAGAATTTTGGGGACTTTTGGGAAGGCATGATAGTGTTTTGAAATGTGATGACATGAGATTTGGGAGGCACCAGGGGCAAAGTGGTGTGGTTTGGCTCTGTGTCCCCACCCAAGTCTCATCTTGAATTGTAATAATCTCCATGTGTCAAGGGTGGGACCAGGTGGAGATAACTGAATCATAAGGGTGTTTTCTGTCATGCTGCTGTTCTCAGGATAGTGAGTGAGTTCTCATGAGATCTGATGGTGTTATAAGGGGCTTTTCTCCTTGCTTGACACTTTTCTCTTGCTGCCACGTGAAGAAGGACATGCTTGCTTCCCCTTCTGCCATGATTGTAAGTTTCCTGAGGCCTCTCCAGCCCTGCGAAACTGTGAGTCAAATAAACCTCTTTCCTTTATAAATTACCTGGTCTTGAGTATTTCTTCATACCAGCATGAGAATGGACTAATACACTAACCGTCATACAAGGCATTATATGAAAACTCACGTGTAGTCAATATTTCTGCTGTTCAACTTTCTGGCTGGAATGTGCTATGAAGGCTTCACGGAGGAGAAGGACCTTACATCAATTCCGAGAGATAAGTAGAACTACAAAGTGTAGAAAGAGGAACTGCGTTTCAAGATCAGGGAAGAGAGTTCTGCACAGTGTTATTACTGTAGGAAATGACACAGCATGAAAGCTAAAATTCTCCATTTACAATTCACTTCTCTACATTTTTGGTAAGATTTTGAATTATTTCTCATGGCATCAGGAAGAGACTTGATATATCTGCTTCTTAAGTGTCTTAGTCAAGGTTCTCCGGAGAAATAAAACCAACAGGATACATCTGGAAAGAAGTTTATCATAAGGCAATGGTTCATGCAATTATGGTGGCTAAGAAGTCCCATGGTCTGCTGTCTGTAAGCTGGAGATCCAGTAAAGCTGATAGTGTAATTCAAAGGCCTGAGATCCAGAGAGCTGGTGGTGTAGATTCTAGTCTACACCATCTGGAGTCTGAAGGCCTGAAAACCAGGAGAGCTGAGGGCAGGAGATGTCTCAACTCAAACAGTCTGATAGAGAGTAAATTTAAACTTCCTTGGCCTTTTGGTTCTACTGAGGCCCGCAATGGATTGAGTGATGCCTATCCCCATTGAGGAGGGCAAATCCACTTTACTCAGTTTACTGATTCAAGTCATAAACTCTTTTGGAAACACCATCACAGACACATCCAGAAATAATGTTTAAGCAGATATCTGGGCATCTCATGATCCAGTCAATTTGACAGATAAAATTAAATATCATATAATTACTGGCCTCCCTCTATCAAGGAAACACAGTGTCTCTTTCATTGTCACCCATGAGAAGTTGGACAGAGCTCTGGAATTGAGAATTTATAACACAGAGATGTTCATACATTTCTCACAGGGATGTTCTGAGTATTAAATAAAATGGTGTATGTGACAGTGCTTTGTAAAGTGTGAATGCCGTATAGATATATCATAAATGTCATAATCCAATGTCATCAAGTACAACATTGATAGAGGAAAAGGCAGAAACAACAGTAAGTATTTCTTGCTTGTGGTCCCATGACCTAGTTTGGCTGAAGGATCTTTTGTATGTTAATATAATAGCTTTGAAAAGATTTGAGCTCTATCGTTTGTGTCAGACATTTCCATTCATTTACAAAAGCATTGTTCTGTATCCATCTCAGCCGCCAGCAGACCTGACAGAATGCAAAACAGTGATAGGACCCCAGAGCTGTTCTTGATTGACCCAGTGTCTTCACAAATAAAATAATCCAGCTCCATTAGTTTTCATTTCCTGCAAAACATGAAAGCTGATACGTTCTGGGCTCTCTTGCTATTACAAGGAAACAGTCAAATTGAATAGTCTCTTTAGCCAACAACAGAACAATCCAGTAATTTCTGTTCCAGAAACCTGCCACTTAGAGGTAAAAGTCTCCCTTCTCAGCAAAGGGTAGTCTCTTTTCAGTGGCTTTCCAGCATGGTACCAGGTGCTTGATCTCCAGCATTCTGCACAGGGAGCTCCTCTTTGCAGCTCTTTATTCAGCTTATTGATCTTTTAAAGGTCTCTAGGGAAGTTCCTTTGGTAGCTCAAAAACTTAATGTTCAGTTTAATCAGTTAAGAGGGTCTCAAAGCAATGATTAATTTCTAAAGGGTATTCACATGGTAACTGGTCTCACATTCTCTAAAAACCACAAACTTCAGTGCACCAGAAGGTCAAAGTCTAAATAATATTTTATTTCTTCTTCTTCATTTGTCTTTGCTTTACGTGTGTCATATTAGCCTTTCGTATGTAATAACTAACTCATTTAGTTGGGATATTCTGTAAGAGACTAGTGGAACTTATTAGTGATGGATTGAATAATGGTAGACTAAAGTTATAAGTATAGGTAGACTGTACCTGAGGAGCTGGTAGACTTCAGGGTATACAAGTTCTGCTCTGTACACACCATATCCAACAAGCTTCTCTGTCAGTTTAAGGATTTTCTCCATCAACCGTGGACATTCTTCTCCCAGATTTTCTGCAAGTGCATTTTTCCCTTTCTGCTTTTCTCTAAGGCATGACAACCTTGTGTGTTTACTAGATCACAAATAATTCATGTCCTAGTTGAGCCATGTCAGTCTCAGTCTAAGTCCACCAGTCAATGCCAAACAGCCGCGGAAGGGATGTTAGAGGAAAAGGATGTAAAGGAACTGGGTCACTTGGTAACCTCATCCCATCTCCTCCTGTTGGTTACTGACAGCCTGTGGCTGCAACTTGCACTGAGATGCAATAGAGGAGTGCTTTTCAGCCTTTAATGTGCACGGGAACATCCAGGAATCCTGTTAATCTTCAAATTCTGCTTCAGTAGGTCTAGGGTGGGGCCTGAGATTTTGCGTTTCTAACAAGATCCCTGGGGGTGCTGATGCTGCTGGGCCACAGGCCACACTTTGATTAGTGAGCAATTAGAGGACTTATTGGTGTGGGAGGCTCTTAAACATTCCAGTGAGACTCAGGCTCCAGTAATAGTATGGGGCCTAATATGTATAACAAAGAAATATTGTCTTTTGACAGCATTCCCCTGGCCTGTCCCCTGGGATCTAGCATAAAATGATTTCATTATATTTATCAAATACTCTCTGCAAAACATATTGCTATAAAAATCAGTTAAGCGTTTGTGACCCAATAGAAGAAATAAAGAGCTATAATTGTCTAAAGAGTGATATACGAGAAATTCACCAGAGCTATCTGGGTGCACAGGATCTTATAGCCTCTTTCATCCATCAAAGGTTTTTCTCCACAGATGTCAGCCAGGAGGTTATCTGTATCGTAAACACTATGCAAAGCTTTCTGGATCCTTTCTCTGGGACAGGTTGCCTCCATTGACTGTGTTATCAATCAGGGCATAAACCACAGCCTTAATGTTATCTGAGACTCAGAAGTTCACCCTGGCACGCTAACTGCTGGGGAATTATGAGTCGTGGGATTGCTCTAACACAGAGAGTATTGTGCTGTGAAGATTATGGAATCTTATTAGAAAAGGCTCTGCCCCAGATTTGTAGCAGTTAAAATCAGAGTATTTCTTTAGATACCATAGGGAAGATGAAAAATGTTGGAATCTGCTTATATTGACTCATATGTACTCCCAGGATGCAGAGCCAGCAGCAGGAGCTGCAGCAGCCCTTACTTATTAGTATGGATTTCCCCTTTGAAGGGTTATTTAAAAATATTTGTACATATTTCAAATCCCTCAATCTGGTTTGTGGCAAATGGTTGCTTAAATAACTTCTTAATTATTTTGTTCTAGTTTTTGCAGAAGGACTGTTGCAGATATTTAGCACAAAGCTTAGGTTGTTGAGGCCTTTACCTACCTCCTCAATAGATTTCAGGAAAAGAAAATCAAGGGGTGCTAAATTGTTACTCTCTTTATCTAGTATGCAAAAACAGAATGGACTGTGGACCTCAGTACAGGAAAGACATACTTGCACAGCTGCATGGTAATGATCTTTATGTGTGTTAAAATTATGTTCCTGCTATTTTGTCATAATATTCCACAGTGAGGCTTTAGAAGAATCACGTGCTTATAATAATTTTAAACAGAGTCGCTTTGAAGATCTCAGGTAGCAAATTATCTCATGAACTTGTGGATAAAATGTAAGCAAAATTATTTGAAATTAATGGCAGATAAATAGAAACAAATTAAAGCAAATGTTATTGTGCAGTAAAATCGGGTAGAATCACTCGTTGAAGGAGACACGAGTCGCCAAACTTGGACTTAAGCAAGTTTTGATGAGCAAATATATGCCAAGTCTTGGTTCCTACTCCTATGTTTGAGTAGCTGGAAAGACACACGTCAAGTGTGGAGGGATGCTGGCTTGTGGAATTTATGGACTAAGAGTGTATGAAATCCTGGATGATCCTGAACGATCATGTGGTCAATTTGTTCCTTGTAGCTATACTGAAGATGAGATGGTGTCATACCCTAATTGATCCTGTGGTGGCTGGTTTGAAGCAGCTGGGCTAGGTACCCAGAGACAACCTCAGTCCTGTGTCCCTACTTTTCTAATTAGTTATGTAATCTGCTGCATTTTATTCTATATATTTACACATAATATATAGAATATGTGTGTAAAATATATATGTATATATGTATGTATTTGTTTCACAAGCATAGGAAATACCAGTAATAGATGGTGAGAATGACATTCAGCATTGCTGAGCTCTCCTCCTACACCAGATTATACAAGAAACAACCAGTTGGGAAGCATCATAATGCTGAGCTTCACTCACTGTCTCAGCCTTTTTTCACCTAACATTGTGTATATTGGGTAAATATGACTCATCACAAAGAAACCTGAGTATTAGAATTTAGGAAAAAATCCAGTTTGAGTGATTGCAATATCAGAATTTGGATTCTTCTGATTATGATTATGTTGAGTGGTGCTTTCGACATATTAAGGGTGCTTTTTGGTAAATTAAGTTTTCAGGGCAAAAGAAGGTGAGGTGACATATGTATATGCATATATGTATGTGTGTTTATGTGTGTATATGTATAAATGTATGTGCGTGTGTGTATGTATACATATACCTCACACCACATGAACCCTTTGGAAAGTATCCTGCTGAGGGTGAGAGCCTACGTGATGTAACTTCCTCAGTTTGGGAAGAAGAGAGATATCAAGGAAAGCAAAGAAAGATGAGATACCACTCCGAGATTTTATTGTTGTACAATAAAATCCGTCATCTCCACCCCGTGAAGATCATGTTGTGGACACTGTTTTGGCAATAAAAATAATAGTTACATGTCAAAACACTTCAAATGGCCATGATCCATAGACATCAGCTTTATACAAAACATCACATGGTCATTGAATGAACAGTGTACACCTACACTTCGGTTTAAGGAAATGAAATGAAATCCCATAACTCCAGACCCGTGGACGGAGAGTTCAGCCAGGCCCAGTAAAAGACACCATTTAATCTAAGCAGACCATGGCCTCAGGCAGCCTACAACCTGCGTGAAAGCTTAATAAAACAAAAAGCAAAAATAACAGAGCTTGGAGGTTAAATAACGCAAATAGCTCATTTCTAGAAAAAAGCAATTTGAGAAAGAGTGAGTTCACGCAAATTCCCCAAAGACACACAACT